TTTTTGGCGTGGTCAACAACATATGACACCTTTTAAGCCTTTCCTGAAAATTTCCTTGAGTCAGCATGAGATTTGATCGAGATATAAGGATTTTAATTTTTGCTAGTAACAGGCGAAAAACCGGTTTGTCACAACAATGCCTCTGGCGAAGTTATATTCATTTCTACACAAAAACAAATGCTGCCACTATACTCAGCGTAGTCGATTACCTATAGTGCATGGCATTTTGAGATTCTCAGAGATGTCGGAGATAGACACGTGCTAGGAGAAAGCGATCCCTGCCCGAACGACGATAGCTAGAGAGCCGCGACTTGCATAATTTTGTAGGGTAACGTCCGGACTATCTACGCATGCAAAAAAGTTACTAACATTGGATGTTAGTTTTCTGAGAACGGAGCCGGTTTTGCAAAGATCCTCTGGAAACCCGATCTCTGGAGTTTTTTCAAAAGTTGCTTCAACATCTATACCAGTTGATAATGGCCAAATATACAAAGAAGAACATTGAATTTTACACTACAAACAACACCATATTAAGGGTAAGTTCCAAAATGCTATGGTTTTTGGATTTTCGATTCCAAACAGTGAACTGGAGATCCTGGATGTTGATCTACAATTCTCGACAAGTCTCAGATTTCCATCTCTTATCATCCGGGAGCTAGAGACGTTCTCCGCAGACCATGCTACCTCTTAATCTGGAGATTTGGAAATCTCAAAAACACTCGAGACAGAGGTAATCAGCTATCCTGATCATCGTGATATTATTTATTTTCATCGTCAGGTCGAAGGTACTTCAGCTGACCCGTTTTTTTCCTGTAACCATGGAAACTTCAAATTAGCATAACTCACTCATTTCTCATCCAAAATGAGCCAAATTTCCAGCAGATGGGTAGTTTTACTCGGGCGATCTAGGAAAATGACCGGCAAATCCCGCATACAAATGTTTAGTCCAGGGATTTTCCGGAGATCTCTGGAAACCCATAGTCCTTTAGTGAATCACACACGGTTTCCCGCCATAATCTATAATATTCCGCTAATGGTGAATATTTTCCGAAGGTTACAGTCATTTTTGACGGGAACTGAGCGAGTTATGCTAACTTGAAGTTTATATTATAGATTATTTTTGAAAAAACGGATCAGCTGAAGTTCCTTCGATCTGACGATGAAAATAAATAATGCCACGATGATCAGGATAGCTGATTACCTCCGTCTCGAGTGTTTTTGAGATTTCCAAATCCCCAGATTTTCGTTAAGCCCAAAACATCGGACTCCACGGTTCATTGAAAAGGATAGTAGTCCAACTACGAAAACTCAGTGTCACGTCAGCATGCACTACTTCTTATATTTTACTGAATTTATATGGTAATGGTGATCAGGTAAATTGAAAATTAATTACAGCTGTTATACTTGAAAAACAAACCCAAACTCTCTCTTCATTTCGAATAAACTATACCAATTCTGTTGTACGTTAAATGCTATTGCCCAGTTCTCATACTTATTCAAACTGTGACCAGGTGCAGTGGGAGTGTGGGAACCTTTGTCCAGACGTTCAAACACGTCTTCCTTAAAGAATTCAAACTGCCTTCGGCTCGGCTTATAAGAAAATCGCGCCCCAGAGCGTTTATTAGTGTGATATGTCGTGTGTCAAGAGCAACCTAATTATTAATTTTTTATTGTGCTAATTCTGGAGACACATGTGACAGGAAGCGAAGAAAACATTTTCCGTTTTCCTGCAAAGACTCCAAGTAGTTTCAACTCTCTTCTACTTCCACATATAACTTGATCTTCTCTCATCAAGGAGTTAACTTTTATTCTTGTATGTATAGTCCTCTAAAAGCAGTTTGTTGAAATATATTGATAATACTCATATTTAATTTGATAATTTGTTTTAAATAAATACTTCTAATCAGATCACCATGGGTGCATTTACCGAACGTAAGTTAGGTGCAATTGTTTTATACTCAAAAAGCCTTGATTTTGACTATTTTTAATCCGCACCCTCCCCCCTTCTAGGGATGCAACGGTAACGGTAACCGCACCTTACCAGTTACCGTTACCGGTTCAACCGGTTCTGATCGGTTATCGTTACCGGTTTCAACCCGCGACGATTGCCAAACCTACGGTCGGAGGTGCATATTATTTTTTGCCCCTTCTCCTTTGGTACGAAATGTTTTATTCGATGTTTTTTCGAATCACTTCTTCGCCACCAAAGGGTTAAGCTTACTTTGAACTGTCCATTGTCAGTCCAATTGTCCGGACAATAGTATGTGTTATACGGTTATTTCTGGAATAATATTTTAGTGGAGTTTCGAAATAAGATTACACGAAAGAATATTCTCAAGAGTTTGAAAAGAAGAGTTCTTTGATCATCGTTAAACAATATTCGTAAGTGCGTTTGTGAACTTGAGTTCTACATGCGACCATATGCAGTGTGTAGTTTTTGTACGCCCAACAGGATTTTATCATACAACAAATTTAACAATGTTTTTATTAGACGCACTTTGAACTGTCTATTGCCTTTCCTGTCTCTATATTTATTAATTATCTCCTGACAGATAAATAAGAATTTGTTATTTCGTGCGCGAACTATCCGTGCGCATCTTTCTGGATCCCTTTTGATCTAGATAGAGTCACACTTTTGTTTCTATTTGTGTAGTTTTTAGGTCTTCTTTTTACTTGTTTATACCTATACAAGAAACTAATAATATGAAATCGTAGAATCTAAAAAGAATGAAATCATACAAAGATATTCAACTAATTACAACATATTGTCTTTTTGTTAACACGAAAAGTAAAATGAGTCTTGATATATGGATCATCCATTGTGGACGTACAGGTCCGAGTATATTGAGAAAATAGAATACGCAGTTTTACGGAGTAATCTCTTAACTGTAGCATAGTTTCATCGGACAAAATGAGCTGAGTTGCAGCTCATACTGTTTTTAACTAAAAAAAACATTAAAAAGCAAATAATGACAGATTTATCTAATAAAAATATCAAGGGCCTGTAAAGAATTTTATTTTGAATTATATATTTTTATTTTTTTTATAATTTATGTATGCACTACTCTAAAAATCTATTGTCCACCCTAAAGAATCTTTCCTGGCCCGCCAATGCATACATGCCAGAGGTGAAACACCGTCAGAAAGACCGCACCGACATTTACTGACGTCAAAAGGTTTGTTATTTTTTTGTTTTATGATAGCATTGGTTCATGTATTGTATGGATTTCCTTTTAAATTCAATTACCAATACTCTAATAGAACGTATACCTCTCAACGTAACAATATACTCATTCAAATTAATCCAAGAAGCGCTGGCAAGAATTGACTCTGGGTAAAATATGAAAATTCTTTGTCATTTAAAACATAATACTATACAGTACTATAGAATCGCGTCTAAGCGTTTCTTGTAACAGTTACGGTAAAGTTACTGAACAAATGAGAAGGGACAAGAAACCGTAAATTTTTTCATGGCACAGACGGGTTTGCGATGATGTTACTAGCTCATGAGCTTGGGCTTCGGAACGTGATAAAAAGCTTTGTGTTCGAGCTCAAGGTTATGGACTCGAGGCAACAGAAAAGTTTGCGCTGAAGGTCCCTATAGTCCTGTCCGCTTTATTTCACTGGAATTTGGGAGGTTACGAGAACAGAGAGTGGTTAACGGAGCTTTTAAGTTTTATTAAAAGAATGTTTCGGATATCAGTGTTTCGGAGAAGGGTTGAGTAAAACGACATCTCTCTTGGATTTCGTCGCGTTATCTAACTTAAAAATATTCGGTAACGTGAGGAATTTCATTAGGATTTCTTAACCTCTCCCAATAGAGTCAAGCGAGATGAAGTATGCATTTTATTATTATTATAATACCAAAAATGAATTTCCTTTCGCAATTACACTGTATACTTCCATATTTTGACTTTTCGTGAAAAAGAAACGTGCCATTCTATGCAGCCAATACACTCTAGAACCGGTTTTATAAGGAGTTTAAAAGAGTAGCGAGATCCTTCAGAATGGTGCAGAAGAGCCAGCTATTTCGATCTCTAGGTGTACATTGAGGAAATAATTCCAAGTTTGCTGCTGTAGAAACTCAAAACTAATTTTCTTTGTGTGGATGGACATCCGTTAATATGTTCAATACATGGATGTCATTTATGGATATGGTTAAAATTTTATACTAGAATGTTTTTGACATTAATCAGAAATTGAAACTAAGCATCAGCTTCTAATTGTTAGTAGCAGCGGTATATATGAAATGATAATACTACTTTTTCTTCTGCTTTCAAATTCAATATTTGCCTCCCATTTCAATGGTATGGAATAATCAAATATGGCGTGCACGACCATTGTACAAGTTAAAAGCAGATTAGTTGGAAAAATCTCAGGTACGTTAAATGAATGATTGCCTAATAGATGAATAATCAACTGGCACAATAACATGGCGACCAGAAAATTTAACAGCAACAGGCAATCCAGTTAAAATCATTATCACGCAAACCTATTCATGGACATCTAGCTACATAACTTGTACGAATGCCATGATAGCAAGTCATTCATTAATTGGTGCTAGCCTCTATCCAGGATTATCAACACAAATGTTAAATTGTCTAGGCATGTGTAATTATGCATCAGGAGGAAATGCTCAAGGATATAATATAAGCACACATATTATACCTTACTGCACAGATTTGAATTCAGCAATGGGTACAGTTATTGGTCAACGTGCCGACACAGAGTTATTATATTTAAACGATAATTTTACAGTTGCTTTTCAGTCAACGGCTCCTCAAGCCTGGATTGGTTTAGGGGGAGCAACAACTAGCAGTGCACTTTGGTCTTTGTCATGTCGCATTGATTTATATCTAAGACCAGATGGTTTTTATAATTCTGCTCCTGTTTCAACAATGATGTCGCCAATTAATATACCACAAAATATTCAGCAAACAATTAACATACCAGTGTCTGATGCAAATAACGATATTATCAGTTGCCGTTGGGCATCTGGCTTCGCTGAATGTGGTGATGCATGCCCTCCAAGCTCGTTACCTGCAGGCACAATTTTATATCCAAACTGCACCATGGAAATCACTGGAACAGTGCTTAATGCTTATTATGCTATCACAATTATGGTAAGGTATTCTCTCTAAAATCAGTTCTTTTTAACGGTATAAGGTAAAAGTGGAACTTTGGAACATTTTGACGATATTTAAAATAAACATTCAAAGAATTTCACTTATCTAAGAGAAACAATAAACGAGTTCTGGTCAGTGCCTTTGTAACATTTCCCAACGATCCATGACGCATGTTGCAATTAACTGTATGTGAACGAGAGGAAACCTTCCATATTTCGGAAAAAAGTGATAGGGAGAAGTCAGCATTACTGAAAAAGCTCTGCTGTTTCTTCTTTTTATAAACTTTGTCGAACAGAAAAATAGTCTTCCTGCATAAAGACAATTTTTGTTTAGCTACATATTAAAATATCTTTCTTACTCTAGCTTGTTCAGAGATGTCTAAACATGAATATGATGTTAGTTTAATTAGTTAGACTCGTTTCCGGTGTAGGATGAGAAACAGAACACTGTTTTGCGCGTTCGCGCACCGATTCTGATTGTTTTCGTTAGCAAAAGGGTTTTAAGTCTGATTAACGAGTTGCTAGCTCGCGAATCCGACAGTTGGCTACCGGCAGCCGAGGATCGCTTTCCCACTGTTCTATGAAAACAGTGAGCCCCTATGTGAATTCGAAAATCCACCCGGCAGGCATCATGAATATGATACATTTTGAAGATCTAACTGTCCAAAATCAGATGTGAAACATGCTCTGTTATTGCTGCATATATCTCGATACCAGATATATGATATTCTCATATGTTTCATACTCGTCTGACGAAATATACGAAATGTTCTCACTCTCAGATAAACGCTTCTGAACTGTTTTTCTGAAAAAAGTAGCATTACTTTTATTTTAGTGTTTCTGTATGAGCTATCTTTACTGTTCAATAGTAGGAACAGTTAGATGGCTATTACTGCCAATTAGATTCTTTCTTTCAGCTTGCCACACATGCTGCCTGTGTTTTCGGACGCAATTGGAATAGAGATTAGAGAAAAGATTTTTTCGAGATCAGGAGACAGGATGGAATCGTAACGAAAAAACTCAGTCCCGTAGGGCTCTATTTGGTGGCTAGTACGAGCTAGTCTTGCGAAATATATATCGGATTCTCGATTAAAATATGTTTCAAGGTACTGAACAAATAAAAATAAATAATTCTCGAAATATTCGAATGCATTCAGGTATTCTAATCGAGTCAGAGCGTTTAATGTTTTTCTTTTATATCAGACGGTATCATTCCAGAGTGGTGATCTCAATATGACTCTTAAAGAGCACTGTCTCTTTTGGTGGCGGAAAAAACAGGACTAGAACCCAAATATGGATCCACTATATGTCGAAAGCAACTTCCATCTTAACACCATTTCGTAGCTGCAGGATTTCCCGGTAACGAAAGATCGCAGAGAGCTCGGGAAGATCTTAAATTGAAGATGGCACACATGACTAGAGGCTAATAGAGCCCGATTTTGATATTCGATCTAGATTTGTGGTTAGAAAAATATCTTATTCTTAACAAGTTGTGTATATTTTCTAGCTGTTGTATAATACTTCTTCATAATCAAATATAAGCTCGTTTATCATAATTGTAATAATAATATTTAAATATCAATCAATAGGTCATGTGTAACGGCGTTCTACTGTAATAATGCGTCGGTTCGCTATTCCGAGAAAGCCTTACGTATACAGTTTAATGTTATATACACTAAGAAGGTGAAGGTACGTCACTAGTGACTAGTGCAAAGTAATTGCATAACTTCAATCATCGTCTAGTAACTTATATAGAACAGAAAGAATGGGTTTACTTTTGCAGTTTGTTCTGCAAAAGTAAATTTATTTGGTTCTTTCCTTTTATCTAGCCAAAGATTAGTTGTGTATATTTTCTAGCTGCTGTGCAATAATTCTTCATCTCTTATTATTATTATTATAATTCTTTCAAAATATGATTATTAAAATTTTCTTTCATGCTGTTCTTCTCCGCAAACGGCAACTTGCGATAGTGTTTAAACCATAATAACAAAATTAGTCTGTCACTAAGAAAAAATAGAACATTTAGAACGGCCGTTCCATTTCGGTCGAACATTTCTGAAGTAGTATCGTTCTTGTTTTACGAAATTTAGAACTATTACATCTCAGCTCTTTATATCAATGGAGTTTTGCTTGATATTCAAGTTCACCTATGCTTTTGAAGTAATGAATGATTAGGACCCTAGCCGATGAGGATGCAGAAAATAATATTGTGCAAGAAATTGTACCGATCACGATCCCACGTGAGTTAATCTATCACACTTTGATCTTTATATCTTTATCTCAAAAAAGCTATTAAGGATACAATAAAGTTCATCAAAACTGATAATGCTTTATGCTAACTTTACCAGGCCTGTACGATTTGTAGGTCGAGGACTTTTATAATGATACAAGTGCGACACCTATGAGTAGCGTTCCTGTCCAATTTCTAGTGCATGTTGTTAGTGCATCAACATGCACACTTGCTCCAGAGATTATCGGTGCTCCAGCTGCACTATCGTGTACAAGCGTACAAGTTGGCGTTATATTTACAACGACGTTAATTGCAAAAAATAATTGTCCAGTTACCGGCAGTATCACAGAAATATCTACATTATCATTATCGGGCATTAGTAAAAGTGCTCTTACAAACAGCAATTCATCGATATACTACAGAACTATAACATGGCAACCGACACTGGCTCAAATTGGACCTCAACTTTTGTGTGCGATAGCTGTTGACAGGTGAATATAAATTTTATTTCAGAAAAGTAAAACTATTGATTAACATACTTTTCATTGTAGTTTCAACGATCAATCAGCTCAGTATTGTTTTAGTTTTTATGTCGACATAGAACTGCACTGTGATTGTGACCAACCATGCACCACAACGACAACCTCAACAACAACTACAACTGAAACGACTACGAGCAGATCAACTAGTAGTTCTACGTAGGATGAAATTTTATAGACAAAGAATTACTCGTATATTCTAAGCAACTTTAGGCTTTTTAGTTCGACAACGTCATCCAGCACTACCAGCATGTGAGCTTCCAAGAAGTGAGCCATCCATGTTCTAATCTCAACTATGTTTAAGTACGACAACGACCACTGTGACAACAACTACAACTGAGACGACTACGAGCACATCAACTAGTAGTTCTACGTAGGATGAAATTTTATAGACAAAGAATACTCATATATTCTAAGCAAGTTTATGCTCTTTAGTTCGACAACGTCATCCAGCACTACCAGCACGTGAGCTTCCAAGAAGTGAGCCATCCATGTTCTAATCTCAACTATGTTTAAGTACGACAACAACCACTGTGACAACAACTACAACTGAGACGACTACGAGCACATCAACTAGTAGTTCTACGTAGGATGGAATTTTATAGACAAAGAATTACTCGTATATTCTAAGCAACTTTATGCTTTTTAGTTCGACAACGTCATCCAGCACTACCAGCACGTGAGCGTCTAAGAAGTGAGCCATCCATGTTCTAATCTCAACTATGTTTAAGTACGACAACTACCACTGTGACAACAACTACAACTGAGACGACTACCAGCACGTCAACTAGCAGTTCCACGTAAGTTGACTTTTTATCTCAAAATCCTATAAAAATACTACAGAATGCAGTAGTAATAATGTCTGAAAGAAAAAGATGGAGACTGCTGATTTTTGAGATCCGAGCGTTGCTATAATAGATTTCCCCAGTATGCTCAGTTTTTTTTGACTGTTTAACATTGCACTTAGACGAATTTTACTCATCTTTAAACTGAATGAAAGCATAAATCTGAATTTCGAAGAAATAATGTTTCTAAGAGTGATTTAGTTATAACCGAACAAAAAAACCTTACTAAACTGTTGTCGATGTAACGAATTTCTCGGCAGACGTAGTGAGATAAAACTATTATTTTTAGAATTAGGATTAAAAAATAGAATCTTTTACAAAGATTACTTGCAACAAGATTGTGATTAAAATTCGTTTGTCATTTAGTATAGAAGAACGTCCAAACTGTTGGAATGCTTTAAACGATGACTTTTTGAGATTAGCTAATGTGTGTGTGTAGAGGAGATTAAGAATGATGCAATGAATTTAATGGTTTAGTCCACTGGTCGTTTTCTGCTGATTTTTTATGCATACGTACATAACCCGTGTAAACTCCACATTTTATCATCTTTCTCAGTCCACAAGTCATTTTTGCATAGAGAAAAATGGAAAATATTTTTGTTACTGTATGCATGGATAACTGAGAACAGCAAAATGTTTTAGCAGACAATGAATGTTTCTCTGAGATCCAGTTAGGAATCCGTCGAATAAAACGGCCACTTCAGCTTTCTAGCTGTGAGATGTAGAGAATAAAACTAACGTGTTATTCTGAAATTCTGAAACTTTTATTGAATTGTGAGAAACCCACAATATTATGTTAGTCGTTATCTTCAAAACTTCGTTTTTTCCTCATAACAAGTATTACTACATCAGCAGAGTTGGTTATCACTTATGCTTTCATTTAGTTTTAAGATTAGCCCAAGCTCGTTCAGATGCAATATTGAAATTCTTAAGAAGTCTGAGTCTGCGAGGGAATCGTGCTATATGAAAAGCCCGAATTTCTGGAATTCTTCAGATAAGACGTTGGACTAAAAGCATAATTCAGAAGACGTCGGAAAACTTTACGAAACTATCCATATATTCTGTCATTCCAGATATAATCGTGTCGTAAACTAATATTGCGATTTAGCAGTCTGATTTTTCAAAGCTCTGACAGATAACACATCATGCTCGAATGATGTTTTAGAACTGCTGTTTACTCATGCTGATGTGGTCAAGAGTTTTTTTCCATAGAACATCAGATAACTCACAGGTGTCCATCAGTTTCCACTAAACGTTACTCAATTTACTAATGAGGAAATATTCCCAGATGTGTTCAGGTTTGTTCATACATCGTTCGATAGGGGACCTCGAATAGGTAAAAGCCTAAAAGAATTTCGGCCAACGGCTCTTCTTTTGAGAGTTACTACCAGTTTTCTAATTTTCGTAACGAAAACTAGCATAAAAAATCATATTCAACTCCGTCCAGGAAACTCATAGAGAGCTGAAATTGTTTTTGGTGGTAGTCTTAATGGTTCCTTATACACCCCGAAAGT